TTCAGGCTTTGCCTCTTCATGCACCAAAATAGTGCAAATTTTCCACCATAAATTTTCAATTAAGCTGGCATTCATCGGAACGGTGCAAATTATGCACCAGAAAAATGAATAAACCTTGATTCTACATTCACCACAGTGCTGCGAACTTTCCACCAGAAATTTGCAGTTAAATGTGAACCTCCAAATGTTTAGCGTGATTCAATTTTTCCACCAGAGTTATTCATTTTTATTAGTCCCTCCATGCACCACCTTGATGTATTTTTACACCAAAAATATTCAATAAAAAGCTTTTTCTTCGATTTACCACCACGAAGGTAAGTTTTTTCAACCTTAAATTTACCCTCTTCTTTTAACCCGGTATGAACCACCTTGAAAAAAAAATAACACCAGAAATTTTTTGTATGCACCACTGTGGTGCAATTTTTTGACCAACAAATTTCATGTAAGTTTGTCCCTTCATGCACCTTTGTGGTGCAATTTTCAGGCACAATCGCAAAGGAATTGACGCAATAAAAGGTTCCCAGTGCCCTTATATTATGAAATGATATTATTTTACCTTCAAATCAAATTATCACGAAAGTTATTTTATATCATAATTCTGTAAACGTGGAAATAAAAATCTTATTTACAAAAGGTGGGGCAATAGCCCCACCTTGCCCCACCCTGTGCACGCCAGTGCTGGTCAGTACGCCGAGGACGCGAACTGTTTTCCTGGTTGGAATGGCTTGGTCGTGGATCGTAATTGGGGTGCTATTGACTCGGTGATGAGACGGACATACGTGGCATCGGATGCTCTTCCTGGCGCACAGCTGGAAACCCATCGCGTCGGTCCATTTGACGACGGCAGAGGCTGCCGCTTGCGCTTGCCGTAGGGTTCGGTTCTGTGTGGGACCGGTGGCCGCAATCAACACTTCGTCAACGTAAACAAATATGTAAATGCGCCCAGGTAGCCAGAAACCAGAAACAACGTGACTGCAATAACGGAGCCTTGAGGGACTCCGATCTCCTCGCTGAAACTTTTCGACCGCGTGTTCCCCAACAATACATGGAATGACCGGTCGGTCAAGAAGTTTCGTATGAAATACATCATATGCCCCTTCAAGCCCCAGATTGTAAGCTTTTCTAGGACGACTGGCGTCCATGTCCGGTTGAAGGCCTTGGAGATGTCCAATGAAATAATTTCAACGTGGTGTTCCAGGTCGTAAGCTTCCGTGAGGATGCTCCCCAGAGTGGCAAAGTACGTGGACGCACCGAAACCTTGTCGAAAGGCATGTTGTCGGTGGTCAAGCAAGCTGTTGGTCTCAAGGAACATCTTGAGTCGACGGTTCACCATCCGTTCGAATACCTTGGCCATGCAGAATGTGAGAGCGATCGGCCGGAACTTGGATGTGCCCCTATCTTTTTCGTTTGCCTTCGGGATGGGCACGACTAGACTCTCCTTTCACATCGTCGGGTAGGCATCCGATACCCAGAGTTGGTTGAGCATCTCAATCATGCAACACTTGCCCTCAAGAGGCAGCTTTTTTAAAAGTGGATACCCGAGATCGTCAGGTCCGCAGATTTTCGGATTTTTGCTAATTTCTGGGTGGGTGAAGATGTGCGAGACTGAACACCCAGAGAACTACAACCCAGGATATGTATTACCGTCGCTGCTACAGCTGATCTGCAGTCAACAAAGGTAATACGCTACGAGTCAAAGTGTGGCTATTGTCCGGTCTTCGCACGTAAGGGAAAGCAGCAATCATCATCATATAACTATGGTCAGACGGCATCGAGAGCGTCAGATGAGATGACCAGGCGAGTGGATAGCTGTTCGAAACGCCGAACGTTGAGCTAAGCGACCACGGATCAATCGATGACTATCTTATCGGTGATCGAGAAGTCAGGAACGGAGGTGCTTCCATTGGGGACGAAGATTTTAATGTTAGCCTTTAAGTGTCATTAAATGTAAAGGAGTGAAATAAGTTGTAGTTTTATGAATTGTACTGCCGTTATACGCATAAGAGTCCCACGGGACAGTTATGCGTATAACGGCAGTGTATGTTTACTCCAATCCGCGTGTTCTTGTTGAGTGACTGAGGAAGATACACCCCTAGAAATCTCCCTGTATGGAATAGGTAGAGGTGTGCTACTTCTGTGGATTCCCCGCAAACCCCACTGCCCTAAGGGAAACCATCAGCAGCCGGTAATTAATTACTTGGTCCCCAACCGTTGTTGGAGTCGGCCTGGATGCTCCACTGCTTACAAATCGAGAAGGTAAGCAAACTAGCCATCATTTATTTATTTGTACTCATGAATTATGTTGCATAAGTTCAACTTATCATTTCCAAAATAAATCCTTGTGGCAAAAAATCATGGTACACACTAAGAAAAAATAATGTTAATTTAGATGCTCTGAGACTGACATATACGAGCGTCAATGTTGACATAAAATTGAGTCATAATAAACGCAAAATTCAGCTCAATCAAACGTACTTTCGAACTTTTCGGTGTGTGAGCATTTAATTTTACATGACATGTTTGTTTACGTCTCATGCTTTATGTCAAAGATGTATTTTTTAGTGTGTACCTATGGATTTTTGAAGTTATTTTTGCCTCAGTGTTCGTTCGCTAGCAAATAAGTGGAGTCAAAGTGGATTTCTTGGTTATTATTTCCGATCATCTACAGATTTGAAAAGCAGTTTTTAATGGCTTCGTGTATTTGACTGCGTGAAATTTTAAATACAACGAAGAACACAAATAAGTAAATGCAGTAAAATAGATTTATCTAGCAAATGTTCGTTGTGAAATCAGCAAATTCTTGCTTTAAATTTTCGGATGACCAGTGTGTAAAATGTGAATGTATGAGTAAATTAATAAACGGATTCTTCAAACGATGTTTTTAAAAAGAAGGTACAATTGAGACTGAGCTTTATTAATCGATCCAAATTAATTGAAACCTACCAAGTGGCCCTAAAAGTCCTAACGTTGCATTTCTCTACCCATGTAGCGGGGGCCATAGTCCGTGTCGTTGTCCTATGTAGTTGCTGTTGCCAAGTGCTGCGTCTGCAAGTCCGAGGTTCACTCGAGGCTAGTTGCTGTTGTTGTCAGGTGTCCACGATGGTTCGATGGTGCCGATGTTGAATATGCTTAAGTCGGCAATTTGTTTATGATGCTGATGAGCTGTTCCTTGGTCACCGGTGTTTGTGTTGTTGGAAAATGTAGGCTACCGCTGTTAACTAGTATACTAATGTTGATTATTGCAGAAGATCACACAGTGTCTTGAACCCACATTAGGCTGAATAGTACTATTCAATGTATCATTATTCATGTTTTTGCCTAGCGTCGCGTACCCTTGCAATCTATAGCTGAGAATGTGAGGAAAGGCCAGGACAAGGTGATCAAAATGTTCACTCTTCACCAGTTAATTCTCAAGTAAACTTCAAAGGAAATCAAATAAACTTCAGGTTGCAGCCAAATGAGTTCAACATTTGGGAGGATGATCAGAATCGATTGCAATGTGTAGAGCAAATCTGAACCACCACTAAGTAGATGAACGAAGAACGGTACAAATCGACAAACATATCCGACACACTGCAGGTGCTCATTTATGCAATTTTTTTCACATCAAGTGCAACCACTTGGCACGCAGATCCATTTGCAAGTGATGGCTTTTGTGCCTCCGATCTGCGGTGGAATGAAATTCCATCTATATTAAATTCCTCCAAGCCGTAAAGCTTTCATTCCAACCAGTCAGTGGGTGTTCCTTTTGCATATTGCTTACCATGATGGTATCCTGGAATCACTTTAGCCACAGTGTGTGTCACCTGAGTTACAGCCTTCCCACTAGGTTGGATAGTTTGCTGAGCTGTGCTAGGATCGGAAGGAAAATCTATTGCACTTCAAGTCGAACACCTGCCGCCGTGTACATTTTGCTGAATTTTCTGCATACCGGAAGCAACCGTCTGTCGTTGGAGCAAACAAGCCAAGTGGTTTCGGATTTGCATCGATTCCGCTGGCAAGCTGCTGATGCAAATTTCTGATGGGTTTCTATAAAATCAGGAAATGCAATTTGCTGACTGCTGCTCATTTACTCATGACATTGCACTGTGTCCAACCACAGAGAAAATGAAGTACATACACCAATTTGTTCATTAATCACCTGTATGATAATCTTTGGCTTGGTGTCGACAACTGTAAACGTCATTAATTAGTAATTACATATTCCACCACAAATGGCCTTCGTTGTCAATTCCGCTCTTGCTCTATTGGATCGGAGCTACAACAGCCAATACCGTCCCACAATATATGTAATCACAAAGCTTGTCATATCAACCGATAATGGCTTTTCGCCCCGACTCCCCAAACACCCAGACCCAGTAGAATCCCTTCCGCTGGCAATTCCCAAACATCCTGAGAGCTGTTGACATACGTTCCTGACATTTTGGCTTGTAGAGAAGCAGTAGCTTTTCTGTTTGCATGACTAACCAAATAATCAAACCTCGTTCTTGGTATGAACCTACCCTTATCCACTCGACCCATGTACAGTGGAAGCACACACATTCGTACCAACACCATTATTCACCACAACGGGTTGGTTGGATTAGCGTGGGTACGTAGACTACGGTAGCACACCACTTACACACTCTTGAACAGATGTTTGCTCCAAACCTCCCCCGCATATCTCGGATACCTACGTCACGATAGTTCGGTGGAATTGCTGTGCGGCTTCACTGCTATCCGTTGCGTGATTTTGCTCTTTCTAGGGATGCAAAAAGATTGCACAAAAATGGTTGGCTCATTCTCGTCGAGCTGGAATGTGTCAGGGACTAGTAAACTACTTAGTCATTTGTGGGAAATATTGCTATCTAGTCTACACGTCTATAGTTAGTAAATGAAAGCCCTAGAGGCAACAAAACGGTTCTCCGGAAGATCCGGAACTTCCGTAAAAGTGATCCATCCATGAAACTGATATTTAAGCTCCACAACTTTTTTCGAAAAAAAAGGAACTATAATGTAATTTTAGCTTCGGCTGGACATATACTTTAATTGGAACGATACAAAGAAAATTAGCATGGTCCCGCAGAATCGTGAAACGTTCGTTTTTATTGATTTATTTTTTTAGCCCTTCGATGATGGATAAACATATTTGGACTTAAATTATAATGATTAACATTTTCAGCCTTCGTTCCGGCTGGATCTATTGAATTAAATTATTTAATTCGATTATGGAACATCTTTAGACCGTGTTTTCCATACAAAAAAAAATCGCATTTATCTCCTTTATTGAGGCCTAAATTACGATTTGCGCGTGAATATTTGAAATCTTCGTTTAGCATTTTTTTTTTTAATATAGAAATATCGACGCCATAAAGTTAATTTTTATTTAACATTCATTCCATAGCAAAACCGAAAAATGGTTCTCAGAATATTGTTTAAATTGGTAGTTTTGTTCTTTTTTTGCAAAATATTTGACCCATTTTTTATATTTTGTCATTAGGGTGATCATTTCCATGTTAGTCCAAAAAATCGATTTTTTTTTTGAAAAACGACTTTTTTCAAAAACTTATATCTTTTGAACTCACCAGTGCACAGTGGTGCAAATGGCCAAATCCATGAACTTTTTTCATTAGTACCTTTTACAGTGAGTGTCTTCAGAAGAGTTTTTATAAATGACGAAACCCATTGAATGAAGTTAAGTTTTAGTTCTAAACTTCACCACAGGTGGCGCTGCAAAATCTAACTTTTTAGTTTGACCAGATAGAGATATAAAGTCTTCAGCTAAGTTGTAAGTTGCTTCATAACTAAAAACTTTGTACAAGACGCCTTGCCAATTTTTACTCTGATAAACGCAAATGCAACAAACGTTTTTTTTACCATAACGCTCGAATGACAGTTAAAAAATGGCAATCATGAGTTGCTTTGGCATGTAACAAACAAACAAACAAAACATGGTGGGTGGTTAGAATGCGGTTAATAAAACATTGCTCAGCTGACATGGATACAACGGGATACAAATGACTACTAGATGAAATGATAGTATTTTCACTATAGTTTCATCATATTGAGGAGCCGTCGGCCCCTTTTAGCCTCTTTGAAGTTTGTGGATGCTTGAAATTTGGCTATTTTTGAGCTGATATTGCCTATAACATTATCTGTTTGGCAGATAGAACCTTTCTGTTTTCAGAAAAGTTGTGTATTTCATTAATTATTTAAATGTTGCAGAACATTATAGTTATCTAAAACAAATAGTTTCGCAAATATTAACAAAAAACGGATTTTTGAGGCCCTTTTATAAAAAAAAACGCTTCATAACTCAAAATCGCAAGCAGATAGAGACATGGCGTCTTGTACAAAGTTTTTAGTTTTGAAGCAACTTACAACTTAACTGAAGACTTTATATCTCTATCTGGTCAAACCGAAAAGTTAGATTTTGCAGCACCACCTGTGGTGAAGTTTTTATCTAAAATTTAACTTCATTCAATGGGTCTTGTCATTTATAAAAACTCTTCTGAAGACACTCTATTGATGTTGGGAGACGTCTTTATTTATTTATTTGTCGTCAATCAGTGTAGACCGTTTTACAATAGTGCTGTTGCCTTACATGCTATTTTAAAACATACGTTTTATTTGAAATTGTCAGCAAATGTAGACTGCATATACAAATATCTAAAAAATAAAAATTGTTTTAAACTTAACGAGATGAAATCCTAGCAGTTAGTGTTCTCCTTACTGTATCTTTAGACATCGTTAGATCTATATGCTCACAATAATTATTATACACTCTCATCATTCTATTAATTGGTCCATTTTTACCATAATTCGTTCTGTGAGGTGACAGTTGAAATACATTTCGAGTTCTAAACATACGTGATGGTACGTAAAAATTTAATCTTGCTAATGTTTTTTCTGAATTTACGCGTTGTGAGATAATATCATTGACAAAGGAAATCATGGAAATTTCTCTTCGTTTCTTAAGTGTTTCAATGTTTATCAACATGCAACGGGACTCATAAGAAGGAAGGGGAAAAGAGGTCCAGCCTAGTTTCCTAAGAGCAAATAACAAAAACTGTTTTTGAACTGATTCCATACGATTTATATAAGTTTCATGGTATGGAGCCCAAACCACACTGCAGTATTCGAGAATTGATCTCACGTAAGCTATATAAAGTGTTTTGATGGTATATGGGTCTTTAAAATGATAACTAAATCTTTTTATGAATCCCAACATATTATTTGCTTTGTGAATTGTGGTATTCACATGATCTACAAATGTCAACTTCGAGTCAAGAATTACTCCTAAGTCCCTAATTTTATCGCACCTTACAACCAGCTGGTTTCCTAGAGTACATGTAAAATCTAGAGTAGTGTTTTTTCTGGAATATGATATAATATTGCATTTTTTAACATTAATATCCAGCAGACTTTTAACGCACCAGTTGTAGAAAACATCAATTTCATTTTTAAAATGTAGCAAATCAGAATTGTCAAAGATTTCCATGTACAGTTTCATATCGTCAGCATATATGAGCACATTTAAACGATTTAACACAAACTTCACGTCATCCACAAATAAAATAAATAATAAAGGACCTAAATGAGATCCCTGTGGAACTCCCGAGGTAACATTAACTGGCGAAGATATTTTTCCTTTAAAGCGGACCATCTGTGTTCTTTCTGTCAAGTATGATCCAATCCATTTTAAAAGTGTACTTGTCATACCTAAACGTTTTAATTTAAAAAGAAGTAAGGGAATGTCTACTCTGTCAAAGGCCTTACTAAAGTCAGTGTATAAGGTTTCAACGGTATTACCTCTATCCATTGCTTCAATAGAAAAGTTTACAAATTCCAACAGATTAGTAGACGTTGACCGACCTTTAAAAAAACCATGTTGATTATTTGAAATGCGATGCTTAACCTGGTTAAATATTTTCTGGTTAACAATTACTTCAAACATTTTAGGAATGCATGACATAATTGCAATACCTCTATAGTTTTTAATATCTGACCGTTTGCCAGATTTAAATATTGGAACTAAAAATGATTTCTTCCAAATTTTTGGAAAATCACCTGTTTTGAGAGATAAATTGTAAAGCCAAAACAATGGTTTAACAAAACTTGTTGCTATTTTTTTCAATAAAAATGGAGGTATTTCATCAGGACCAGGTCCTTTGCCAGCATCGAGACTTTCAAAAGTCATAAAAATTTCTTTAACAGTGATATTTTTAACTGATACGTCATTTTCCCCTTCATGTAGGTAAGAAAAATAGTTCAAATCGAGAGCATTACTGGATTTCTTATATGTGTTTTGGAAAAAACGAGCAAATAGGTTACAAATATCCTCACTATCAGTGCTATCACACTCTTCAAACTGCATGCGTGATGGGAATGTACATGACTTCATTTTTTCGTTCGCGAAGTTAAAGAACGTTTTGGGATCAGATTTTATATTGTTCTCTACTCTTGAATTGTAATTCTCATATGCTGACGATATTTCTGCCTCAAGTGCTCCGCAAATTTCAACGTATTTTTCTAAATTTTGTGACGTTTTAAACTTTTTATACGCCTTGTGTGCTTTTTGCTTCCTGTTTTTAATATTTCTGATTTCTTGTGTATACCACACAGGATATTTGGTGCTGTTCACTATTCTCTTTTGTCTTTTAGGAACGAATTCTTCAATAATATTGTATAAGTTAGTATAAAATATGTCAACAGCCTTGTCCATGTTGTTTTCATCTTTTAAAAGGTTTTGCCAACTTATGTTATTCAGTCTGTTGTTAAATTCAGGAACATTTGCATTTTTAAAATCATAAACTAATTCAAAATCAACAACGCTTGGGCGTGACCGATGCGAGTCTGTGAACACTGAGTATTCAATAGCCGTATGAAATTTTTCATTCTTCCATAATGGAACTGCTGCTTCTACAATACAAAAATCTTCTGTACAATTAGTAAACATAAGATCCAAATAGGAATTGAGCTGGTTACGAACATGGTTAATTTGATGAAGTCCCAAGTGGCTGCTTTTATCAAAGATGAATTGCAAAGTATCGTTTTCTCCTACAATTGGTAACAACAGAGAATCATTATCACTATCCTGTATAAAATTAACAGTATTCTGGTTAAAATCTCCATAAATATGAATTTTGGTTCTTGGATCTTCTCTTTGAATTTTCAGTTCTGCAGCAGTGAAAAACTTTTCGTAAGCTGGTTTTTTGGAAAAGTGTGGAGGAAAGTAGACAGAAGCGAAAAGATGTTCTTCGCCGTTTATTAAAATTTTAACCCACACATCTTCAAATTCTTTTTGGCTTTCACTAACAATTTGTTCAGCTTGAAATGTAGCATTCACAGCAATAAGTACACCACCACCTGATTTTTTACCTGATGATGATAAATCGCGGTCACATCGAAAAACACAATATTTACTACCAAAGACCTCTTCGCTATTAATGCTATCAGACCAACTAGTTTCTGTTCCAATTATTATATCATATGTGCATCCGCTTATTTTATTTTGAATTTCATTTATTTTATACGCACTACGCATACGGTTAAAATTTTGGCAATAGACTGTAGTTTCACTTAAAAAAGAGCTACTTGATAAACTAGCGACATGGTCACTTACGTCGTGCTGGTCAGGGGGTGAAGTGGCTGCATCCTGTCCGAAATCCCTCAAGTTATGTGAGATGCCATGATCCTCGGGCTCAGCTATGTTGTCATATTCTACCTCAGGTGAGTGCGTCAGTGGTGCCGAAAACACGCATGTCTACATGTGCACGGCTGACACGATGTAGAGGAAGAATTCCCCGGGGCCATACCATGTGAATTCTGAAGACCGCTTACTGGGTACGGGTTTATAGTTTCCCTTTTTTCAAACTGCATCGTAGGTTGATAATTAACCGGTGGTTTGTTGAAGACATTTTTTGCTGCTGAAAGCAGCTCTCGATCAGGTGGAAGAAAACGGGGGTTGCCATGATTTCTGATGTGGGACTGGTAGGAACTGTTGTTTTTGTTATTGCTATTAATGTTATCCTGTTCGTTATGTCGAATGATGCTCCGGTGACCGAAAATATTGCTGTGATTGGTACTGTAACCGTTGTCGGAATTCATGTTTCGATGATTA